ATTTCAACAAAAAGCAGGGAAATTAAAATTGGGGAAAATAACACTCGGGGATTTTAAAAATTGGGCATTTTAATTTTGGGGATTTTTGTGACCGGGGATTTTAAAATTGGGGATTATTATTCGGGGGAAATAGAGGCGGGGGAATTAGAATTGGGGGAATTGTCCTACACCCGTATGTACACACCCATTCATTCCCTGACATTGGAAACAAAATATGTGTAAAAATTAATTTGAAGCACAAGGTTTTTTCAGCTTATTTCTGTATGAGGTTTAGTTGAATGAGCAATTTAGAGAGAATCTTTGATGAGAAATCATGTAAGCATTGTAAGGCCAACAGTTTATCTTGATTCTTTAAAATTTCAGAAAGGGTCCCTTCATTGGATTCCAATACTTGTAAATCTTGCTATAATTCTGGCTTATGCTGAAATTCTTGTTTGTGATATTTTGTTTTCAATGTCAGGGAAAGAATGGGGTGTACAAATACGCATCAGTTGTGCAGTTGTACATCATGGGATGCATTTTCTCTTATTTTGGTATCCAAATACAGCTTTTGTCTCTGTTTCCCATTGTGAAGTGCTTGAATGCGTTTGAATGGATTTGGGTTGGGGTGGGGAGGGGGTTTGGATGTGGGAAATGTTGATTGAACCTTGTGAATGCTGAAAAGCGGAAAATAAAGCTTTCTGTTCATTCAATCATTTACGACGGACTTTTGGAGATGGAATTTTTCATGGAAATCTGGAGGGATCCTTTTGTTTTTTTTTTCTTTCTTCGGGCCTGTTTTTAGTATTGCATTATTAACAGGGTTTCTATCAATTACAAAAGAAAGGGGATGAGGAAAATGAATTTAGGAATGCACCAATCGTATACAGTAATTTGCTGAAATTCCGAAAGCCTTCTTTTTATTTTTTTAGGAAACCCAACTCTTTAATGCGCAGAAAGAGTTTCTTGTAATAACTTCGTTATTTCATCAGTTTTCTATTTATTTCTTCATTTTCACGGTCAGGACAATTTGTTATTTTAAAGATGTGCTTGCATAGGTCTTTTTGATTGTATTAAGACAGCCTTTCGGAGCTGGGATTTTTCGTACGAATTGAGGCCGATGCGTAACTTGCTTCCGGGCGGGGTTCGTCGCTTTTTGCGTGACCTTCATGAGATGAGGAAAAATTGGCAAAGCTCTCGCAAAATTCGCAAGAACAACAACAACAAAAGGCCTCGCTACAGCGCTGAACATGCCGATGAGGGAGAGAGGAAAGAAAAAACCGAATGGTAAAAAATGCCGACGAGAGAGTAGAAAATTTGACAATGAAGGAAATCACGCGAAAAGAAAATGAATTGTGAAGCTGAATCGAAGTCAGCCACAAGAAAAATTATGAAAAAAAAAATTTATATATATAATCATGAACAGGATTGCCAATAATCATGCTTTGATGCCATTTTTCTATCTGAAATTTTCCTCTCTCGGCATGAAATAATTTCCCCGACGGTATTTTCTCTGTCTGTGATTTCCAAACGCAGACATTTTCCCATGGTGCCATCTCACTATTGTAAAATAATTCTTATACGTTATGTATATTTCTTATTCATCAGTATATTTCCAATTAAAGTCATTGTATATTTCCTATTCATGTTAAACACTTGAGGATGGCATTTTCGGGAACAAATTCTGAGGTTCTATTTATTCAACAACACTGTATCTCGAATGGCAACGTGTTTCTGTTGCGCGAAAAAAAGTGTGAAGTAAATAAACGTCTCCCCGTTTTCCAGTCTTTTTTTTTAATGCGTCATTTGAGTTTTTTTTTTCAAACATTAAATTCATTGACCGCAAGAGTTTTTCCCATTTAATTTTATAAGATTTCAGGTTGTTTTCTCTGCGTGGGATCAACTTTCATAAATGCAATATTCCCCCGGGGGCCTTTTCTCCGAGGCGGCATTTTCTCATGGGGTCACATTCAGGGGTATTTTCATTGTTTTTCACAGTGATTTTTCAAGTCCCTTTTGGTCTTTTTCTTCATTCTACAATTTCAATTCTTCGTTTTATTTTTTCATGTAATTTTTTCTCCAGTTTAATGAAACAAGTTTTTTTTTTAGCGTGATTAAGACTTTAATTGATGCAATTTATCTCACTTGCACTTCCCCCATTTCCTTTATGAGGCATTTTCTCATGGGTTCACATTCAGGGGTATTTTCACAGGGATTTTTTTCGAAGTCCCTTTAGGTATTTTCCTCATTCTTCATTTCAATTCTTCATTTAATGATTTTTCCTGTAAACTATCCTCCAGTTTAATGAAAAAAGAAAAAAACCGCACTAATACTGAAATTAATTACGTTAAATAGAGTTAGCGTAAAGGGGGGCTAAAGTAAATACTCCGTAAAAGAGTACCCCATATAAAAGTGTCACTAAAGAAATCAAGGAAATCCATTTTTCCTCATCCTGAAATTTTAATTCTTCATTTAATGATTTTTCCTGTAAATTATCCTCCGGTTTAATTAAAAAAGTTTATTTCGCGTGATGACTTTAATTGATGCAATTTATCTCACTTGCACCCCCCCCCCCCCCATTTCAATTATGAATCATTTTCTCATAGGGTCACATTCAGGGGTATTTTCACAGTGATTTATTTAGTCCCTTTAGGTATTTTCCTCAGTCTACAATTTTGATTCTTCATTTAATGATTTTTCCAGTAAAAGTGTAAATTATACTCCAGTATGATAACAAAAATGTATTTCGCGTGATTATGACTTTCACCGATACAATTTATTTCGCTCGCATTTCCCCCGATTTCGTCTGGATGCCGGAAATATTTTCTCATCGCGCAAATTTCGTCTCATCTTTCACACATTATTTTTCTTTCGAGGATAAAAGAAAAAAAAAAAGAAACACGCGCTTCTTTTCGTGCAAATTTCGTACAGTATTCGCCCAATTATTACAAATTATGCAGAACATTCAATGTCTCAGCTTTTTTTTCGGTACATTCCTGCAGCCATCATCAACCCCAAGAGAAACCAGAAGTTCAAGAGAAACCGGTCCCCTTGAAAAGAAAAAAGGGACTTTCTGGCTGCTTGAATATTATATTTCGCGGTCCTGGAACGACCGAGGGGGCAGATGGCGGGATTTTCGGCAGCAGAAATGGCATGCAAAATGCATGCCTAAGTTCACCTGCATTTACGGTTGCGTGCGGGGCGCCATCAATCACGACACACGTAAATGGTCGCCCATTACATCACATGGGGGAGGAAAAGGCGGTTTCAGTTGTTTTATTAGAGGCACGTATGAATATATACGTATATATACGGGTTCGGATAAATCATAACCCCGCGGGTTTTCCGAATTCAAAATTTCATCAGGGCTCGTCGTCGACGTCGGCGGAAAAGGTACAGTACGCAGTTCTATCCCACCGACTGAGAGGATAAGGGAAGGAATGAATGAATGAATGAATGTTCGAATTTCTTCCTTCTTTACTTTTTTTTCAAAAGGTTTAAATTTTTGAGAAATTTATAATGGGCGCAGCAGGAGAAAATCCCCGTTAGGCCCGAAAATCTCGCGCGAAGTACGAAAATCTGCAGAAAATGTAATACTGTACACAGTTTATATTCAGAGGCAATGCGAAGAAACTATAATATGATAAAATTATAATATACGAATTTAAGGTCTACTTTGTCTTTGAAACATTAATTCTTACATCAGAAAACCTCTTTTGATATCTACATGTGCTGGTGGGGTGCAGGAGAAAATCCCGCGGCCCGAAAATCCCGTCAGACCGAAAATCCCGTAGGCCCAAAAATCTCGCGGGGCTCGAAAATCCCGTAGGTACGAAAATCCCGTAGACTACTAAAATTGCGATATTTTCTCTGAGTTCTCCTTCCAACTACCTGGAAGGAATACAAATACTGTATGGTGGATTATGAAATGGTAAAATTACCTTCCAAGGATTTCCAGAATTTAGGAATTACCTCTCTCTATAGAACCTCAACTTCACTTCCACACCTTTCTCCCAAGGAAGCGTGAGAAAAATGTAACCTTCTTTTGGATCAAGACTTTGTCCCTGTATTTGTTTTGAATATAAACTGTTCACTTTTCCAATTAATTTAAGCTCTACTTTGTCTTTGAAACATAAATTCTTACATCAGAAAACCTCTTTTGATATCTACATGTGGTGATGGTCTGTAAATAATTTAAAATCATCAAATAAGTTTGAGAACAGTTGTTTAATGATATTCCGTTTTGTCAAATTTAATTTCAATATACAAGTGAAGATGTTTCAATATACAGTACAATAGAAGTGAAGTTCAGGTTCTATTGAGAGAGGCAATTCCTAAACCTTGGAAGGAAACCCCTCGCATTTTCATCATTTCATAATCCACCATACAGTATTTGCATTCCTCCCAGGCAGTTGGAAGGAAAACTCCGAGAAAATATCACAATTTTTGCAGTCTACGGGATTTTCGGGTGTAGTCCAAAAGCCCCCCCTGCCAAAAGCCCCCCCAGAAAGCCCCCCCTGCCTAAAGCCCCCCCTGCCAAAAGCCCCCCCGAACTTTTTTTAAAATCAGATGCAAGTTTTCACGTATGAATATATACGTATATATACGGGTTCGGATAAATCATAACCCCGCGGGTTTTCCGAATTCAAAATTTCATCAGGGCTCGTCGTCGACGTCGGCGGAAAAGGTACAGTACGCAGTTCTATCAGACCGACTGAGGATAAGGGAAGGAATGAATGAATGAATGAATGTTCGAATTTCTTCCTTCTTTATTTTTTTTTTCAAAAGGTTTAAATTTTTGAGAAATTTATAATGGGCGCAGCAGGAGAAAATCCCCGTTAGGCCCGAAAATCTCGCGCGAAGTACGAAAATCTGCAGAAAATGTAATACTGCACACAGTTTATATTCAGAGGCAATACAAAGAAACTATAATATGATGAAAATATAATATACGAACTTAAGCTCTACTTTGTCTTTGAAACATTAATTCTTACATCAGAAAACCTCTTTTGATATCTACATGTGCTGGTGGGGTGCAGGAGAAAATCCCGCGGCCCGAAAATCCCGTCAGACCGAAAATCCCGTAGGCCCAAAAATCTCGCGGGGCTCGAAAATCCCGTAGGTACGAAAATCCCGTAGACTACTAAAATTGCGATATTTTCTCTGAGTTCTCTTTCCAACTACCTGGAAGGAATGCAAATACTGTATGGTGGATTATGAAATGGTAAAATTACCTTCCAAGGATTTCCAGAATTTAGGAATTACCTCTCTCTATAGAAACTCAACTTCACTTCCACACCTTTTTCCCAAGGAAGCGTGAGAAAAATGTAACCTTCTTTTGGATCAAGACTTTGTCCCTGTATTTGTTTTGAATATAAACTGTTCACTTTTCCAATTAATTTAAGCTCTACTTTGTCTTTGAAACATTAATTCTTACATCAGAAAACCTCTTTTGATATCTACGCGAAGTTTGATCTAGTGAAGTTCGGCTACATGTGGTGATGGTCTGTAAATAATTTAAAATCATCGAATAAGTCCAAGTACAGTTGTTTAATGATATTCCGTTTTGTCAAATTTAAATTTAAATATACAAGTGAAGATGTTTCAATATACATACAATAGAAGTGAAGTTCGGGTTCTATTGAGAGAAGTAATTCCTAAACCTTGGAAGGAAACCCCTGGCATTTTCATCATTTCATAATCCACCATGCAGTATGGGAAACGGACAATACAGTATTTGCATTCCTCCCAGGCAGTTGGAAGGAAAACTCCGAGAAAATATCACAATTTTTGCAGTCTACGGGATTTTCGTACCTACGGGATTTTCGGACCCCGCGAGATTTTTGGGCCTGCGGGATTTTTTCTCCCACGGGATTTTCTCCTGCACCCAAATAATTCATGTACTGTACATGACTTATGAAATACAGCACTTTCTTATTTCCTCTCTAAAATCAGGACGAACAATTGAATTTAGTACGACTCAGTTTATTTCCATGCGCAAATTCAAGTTTCAGCCGTATCATAACATGTTTTATCCTTATAGTTCTCTTCCCACAAGGAACCCATTTTATTATTTTTAAACTGATGATGAATTAGTTCAATCAGCTCAAAACGGTCCGCGTCTGATGCGCCAATACAATGCGCAAAAATGAACAAGAACAAATGACCTCCAGGATTGGAATTCGCTGAACAACCTTCAGCAGAAAATGTGACCCAACAAAGCACAGAGATTTCATCGCTGAAAACGTGTCATGTTGAATCAGCACGTTTGATCTCAACTCTTATCCTGTCACGACCTTCAATTACGCTTACATTCAGAGAAAAAGAGTGACAAAATAGTGTGCACAAAATACACGCGGAAAATTTTGCACGAACATGAGACATCTTAATCATGAGACGACAATTCTTTGTCCCGATAGTTTCAATACTTCGTTTTTGCAAGATTCGAATCATTCAATGGCATGAATAAAAAATAAATCAATGAACCTTGGTTCCATTGATCATAGATTAATAAATCATTGGAATTCGCATGGACAGTAAAGTAAAATAAAATAAATCTGACCTCAACATGGATTTCGTCCCACATGCGTGTTTTCAAAATCCTGTCTCGCCTTTTTTTAAAGACAACATTACTCATCCGCAGTGGAAAAATGGGCTCCATGATGAAATCCCGTAGGAGAAAAAATCCCGCGGCCCGAAAATCCCGTGAGGCCGAAAATCCCGTAGGCCCAAAAATCTCGCGGGGTCCGAAAATCCCGCAGGTACCAAAATCCCGTATACTGTACTTCAAAAATTGCAATTTTTCTCCAAGTTTTCCTTCCAAATGAAATGGTGAAAGTGTGCGAAATTATTTACAGACCATCAACATATAAAGATATCAAAGGAGGTTTTTCTTATGTAAGAATTCATGTTTCGATGACAAAGTAGAGCTTAAAATAATTGGAAATGTGAAACAAATACAGGGATGAAGTCCTGATCCAAATGAAGGTTAATTGTTCTCACGTTTCCTTGGGAGAAAGGTGAGGAGGTGAAGTTGAGGTTCTATTGAGAGAGGTGAGGTAATTCCTAAACCTTGGATAATCCTTAGAAGGAAACCCCCCACACTTTCACCATTTCATTTGGAAGGAAAACTCGGAGAAAACATTGCAATTTTTGAAGTATACGGGATTTTGGTACCTGCGGGATTTTTGGACCCCGCGAGATTTTTGGGCCAACGGGATTTTCGGCCTCACGGGATTTTCGGGCCGCGGGATTTTTTCTCCCACGGGATTTTCTCCTGCACCCGGAAAAATGTTATGTACTGTAATCTATAATAAGAGATATTTAAATCAATCAAATGCACTAAAATACAATACTTTTCAGAACCACAAACCAAATTGAATAATATTGTTCCAATGAATGCGTATTTTGACAACCAAAAAAAAAGTCAACTCAATAATAAATTAGGCCAAAGGACTTCAAACTCATATTTAACGAGATGCCCCAAGTTGACCTGGCACACCATAACAACATTCAAGTACTGTATCCCCAATATGACAGAAAGTGAAATGAGAGTCAGGGATCTTGGACGTGGAAATGAAAATCACAAACGAACCATTTCCCGAAACTCGGATGTCAATTATATTGAGAAATCTCCAATGCACAGCTTTTATGAAGCTCGGAGCATTTTAAAATTTAATTTCCTGTACACAATGGCGCACAATCCAGAAACGGTGTCTGAATAATCATGAGCATCAATTGAAAGAATGAACGTGGCGTCATTGAACCTTTCCCGGTGAAAAAATTGCCGCGGGTTCCATTTCGACTTCGTCCCGCGACGGGATTCCCATTTCCTCGCGGGGACCAATTCTTGCTGAGCCAAATTGAACTAACCTTGTTGAAGTGGGCCAGGGCAATGTTGTCACCTCGTCGGCGACTGAATAAGGAATTGCCTTCAGCAGTGAACACTGCGCTTTGGTTGATGCCTTCTGGTGAGCACCGACCGTCGTCCTGGTGTCCCCATGACTGGTGAATCACAAAAAATAAAAATAAAAATTTCATCAATTTCAAGATTCATATTCCAACAATTTAAATCCAGAACATCCTTTGAAAACTGATATGAAGAAACAGAAATCCCATTAAACGCATTGAAAATTTAATTTAATCACAAAATGAAAATTAAATCAAGAAACAAAAAGTTGAATTGAATTGAAGCAAATGAAAATTAAATAAAAATCTAAACAATTTGACTGAATAAAAAATGTTTGAAATTGCGGCAAGTTCAAGTCGATTTCAAATTGAATTAAATGAAAGAAAAATAAAATCGGGCTTAAATAAAAAAGGAAATAAATGGACGAAAAATTGAAATAAACAAAAACTCAAATCGGATTGGCAACCAAAAACCATTTCGGAATAAAAAAAAAAAGATCAGTTAGCTACACTGTACTTTTATATACCACTAGAAACAATACAGATCAGAAGATGTCTTCTCAAAACAGCAAATTTCACAAGAAATGCAAGTTCATCTCAGCTGTGTCTTCAATCAGCTCACCCTAAAAACAAACAAAAAACAAAAAATGTTTTTACCAGAACGACTACAAAAATTCCGAGAAATTCCAACAGAATATGAGTCCCCTGAGCTCAGAATAAAATGAAATGGACAACTCGATTCAATTTCTAAATCATATTGAATACCAATAAGATAATTCAGTGCTCAACCAAGTTGTAGGTTAGTCTTCAAACAATTCCCCTTTACTTTTTTTAAATTGGCTTTCGAATTGCCCCTTGACCTAATCGGCTTTGTTTCCAATTAAATCCCGAGTATTACGGTTTGAAATCATCATCATTGAAAATTTCAATAAGTCCACGCCCCGAGAATTCGTAAAAAAAAAAAAAACCCCAACGAATCTCTTTATCTTGGGGGCATAACTGTTTCGTAAAAACCTCAAATCCTGCCAATTGAAAAAAAGGCTTTCGGCTACATACGTATGTGCAGCCCTCTCTTTTCAAGCCAAAAAATACATAATCAAACATTTGCTACAGCACACGGACATTTGGCAAGAATTTGTCGCAATAAACCGCTACAGGAATGCAGGCCAAAGGGAGAAGTTTTTCCATGTCCTGCGTCCTGCGAATTGTCACGCGATTCGCACATCATCGCATATACATTCATGTTGCTCAGTTTTTTGTTCCCTTCTCATTCTGTAGGGTTAATGTGATTTTTACGGTAAACGAGAAGATGGAAAAAAAAAAAAAAAAAAAAAATGAGGCAAAATACTGTTTACTTGGCAAAAGAAGAGGGACTTATTTTTTGGAGGACAAATTCCTGGCCGAAAGCTCATTTGAAGGTCGCGCGAAAAATATTGCGAGGAGAGCGCAGAAAATTTCAGGATCACATTCCTTCGTTGGAGGACTACTAAAGAACTAAAATGCCTGTGTCTCGATATTAGTGAGTCTTGATATATACTGATATGTATGTGGCAGGAGAAAATCTTTCCTGTTTGAAAATCAATTTTTTAAATGACAAATCTGGGATAGTGACCAAATCACAAAACAAAAAACCAAAACGAAATCATTCCTACCTGAAAAATAAAATTCTGGCAAGGTAAAAACTTCGCTTTTCTGGCTTTGCTACGAATTCTCAAGGATATTTTTCAATAGTTTTCCAATGTCTATTTTTTAAAAGACATTTGGACATTTTTTGATTCTACAATTTTTTTTTAAACCATGAATCTATTTTTTCTTCAATATATTTTCAGGGGAATCTCTTTCCAGGTTTAAAAAAAATCCTCAAGGATATTTTTCAATAGTTTTCCAAATAATTTCGACATTTTCTTGATAAAAAAGTTTATTTGAAAACCACGAATCTATTTTTTCAACTCATTTTCAGGGAAATCTCGTTCCATGTACAAAAATTCTCACGGATATTTTTCAGTAGTTTTCCAACTCACAATTTTTCCAAATAATTTCGCAATTTTTTGATAAAACAGTTTTTTTTAAACAATGAATTTATTTTTTTTCAATACATTTTCAAAGGGGAATCTCGTTCCAGGTACAAAAATTACGAAGGATATTTTTCAATAGTACACTGACTATTTTTCCAAGTAATTTCGACATTTTTTGATACACAGTTTCTTTTAAACAATGAATTTATTAATTTTTTCAATACATTTCCAGGGGAATCTCGTTCCGGGTACAAAAATTATCAAGGATATTTTTGAATAATTTTCCACTGACTATTGTTCCAAATAACTTCGACATTTTGTTTGCACACCACTTTTTTTAAACCATGAATGTATTTTTTGTCAATACATTTTCAGGGGAATCTCGTTCCAGATAAAAAATTCTAAAAGATCATTTTTAAATGGTTTTCTACTGACTATTTTTCCAAATAATTTCGACATTCTTTTTTTTATATAAAAGTTTTTTTTTCAAGCCAGCAACACATTTTCAGCGGAATCTCGTTCCTGTTAACTGCACACCGGATTATCAATTCTTACTCCGTGAAAATTATATTCCACTGAGGGGATTTACGTTACTTGCATCTTTTTTTCTGCGAAACTGTCGCCAACGGGACATTTGCTCATGAAGTACCACCTGAATCATGTACGGTAATCTGAGGGTCGCCTCAAATAATAATAAAAAAAACTCATTCATGAAACTCATTCGTTTTCGTAAGGCTCAATTGCTTCAAGGGAAAAATTTCGCGGGCAAAAAATGCCGCCGACCAGAAAACGTCGCACTCATTGCGAAATTATGCGAAAATCTCGACCGACTCGGGAATCCCACTGGGGAATTGACACATATAATGAGTGGGAGAAAACATTGAAACTCACAAAAACTAAGATTTTTTTAAAAAGACTTGCAGTACAATTTAAAAATTTCCAACCGAATTTTTTTTTCCACTGCGAAATTATCTTCTCACGCGGGATTTTCTCCGGCAGCTCCCGCATCGCCCTCATTTGCCGGACAGAAATGTCAAAGATATATTTTTTTGGTTGTTGTTATGCACGTATTTTTTAAAAAACTGAAGAAAGATGAAGGAAACTCACGTTGGAAAGCACGTTGTTCTGGTTGGTTTGCGAGGCATCTTCGTTGTCCTTGGCGTTGGCGTCGAAGCGTGCGAAGTCGATTGTGGACGCGCTGGCGTCGAACACGAAAGTCATCCGCACGCTCTGACCCAGCAAACCTGATTGATGATGGCCACAAAACTGGAGAGACGAATAAAATAACCACGAAAATAAACCCAACAATTATACGAACAATTATCTCACACAATAATTACTGCGTTCTAAAAATATTTGCAACACTTCTTCGGCCCAAATTTTCACGATGAGGCAGGGGGAAAAAAATACCGCGCGAGGAAGATGAAATTTGAGCAGAACAATTCGACCACTTCCTCAAATTTTTTTCTTCATCCCCACCCCACAAAAATAAAAAAATTATGTTCAGAAAATTTCTTTTAGTTTTATTGTTGCAAGAAATGCGGAGACGGTGACAATATTTGTCCAGTTTTTCTTTATTTGAACTTTTTTTCAGCAAAAAAGGGGTGTCAGGAGAAAATGTCGACGTGAAGACATTGCTAGCAGATGTTCGTAGTCTTCTTCAATATAATCTCCCTAAAAAAAAGATGAGAAAGCATTCTGATGGAGTGAAATTTTTCAAATCAACAAGGCAAAATTTCTATGTCAATTTCGAGATTTCTGAAGGAGAATCAGGGCAACACAAAAGATTATCTGCGAGATTTTGCGTCTCATCTTTTGAGTGAATGAGCAGAAAGCTGCCCGGGTCACTATTGCAAAAATTTAAAATATTGCACGTTTAACAGGGTTGATTTTTTTTAACAATACTTTTTTCAGATCAATTTTACGCCGTTTCATTTTCCATTCGGAGAACATTTTGTAGACTCTTATGTCTACGCTTAAAAAAGAAACAAAGCTTTAAATTGGATCACTTCTCAATTCTCATCCAATTTAAAATTGAACTATAAATTAGATCACTTCTCAATTCTCATCCAATTTAAAATTGAACTATAAATTAGATCACTTCTCATCCACACTTGTAAAGCATCGCAGTTACTTTGTGCAGGTTTGAATCTTGAATCTTTGGAGTCGGATAATTTATCGAATTCTCTCATACTGTAATTGCAAATTTTAATGAATTCATTCAAATGCATTCTCTGTAAATTAACCGCTATTTCCCGAAATAAAATCTTCACAAATCGAATTTTAAATTCAATTTTTCGCACTATAATACTGTATAAGTATTCAAATGGATGAATTCACAGGCGTTTTTTGCATATTGGCAGCAATTACACAAAAAAAATCATAATTTCTGTGGCCTGTGTAATTCCTTTCCTTTGAAAATCGCTGCCAAAATTCTACTGCGGCCTGTAAAAGGATGATTGTAATTGTTTATTTTTATTTGGTTAATTCACACGTCTTGTCCGTAAATTGGCAGCCATATATGCACTGTATTACATTGATTTGTTGGGCCTTCTGGTTGTTATCAATCGTTGCTGGAAATCCGACAGAGGCCTCATATACACATTGTATCGCAATAAACTGTATCTTTTTTTTACTGGAATAATCGAAAATTTTGGACTCTCTCTCTACGAAAAAACTTAGGGACCATAAAATATTTCGATGTAGACGGAAATTTTGTTTTTGAGAACAGTACAGTAGTAATTTAAGTTGAGGAGAGAACCATATGAGACCAACCAAATAAAAATGCGTTATACAAATAAATTCGTTGTAGACAAGATCGTTGTAGAGGGAATTTCAAACCCTGTCAAATTGTTGGGCATTTGGGATCATCGGGCCCGAGGGATTTTTTTTTTTCTCCCATGGCGGATCTTCTCTTGCACCCAGTTCACCCGTATTCACACGTTGCCCTACTCGTACTGCATTTCCGATAATTATTTTAATGCACTGCATTCCTATTTAAAAAAAGGTAAAACATGTGATCAGTAAAACCACCGTTTATAATATGATCCGCACCCCATACGCTGACGACGACGACGACGACCCACGCGGGACTGGGAAGTCGTCAACGTCGACGGTCTCTTGGGGTCGGTTTTTTCTTTGTATTTCTCTTCTTCGCCCCCCCCCCCCCCCCAGACTTGTAATGTGAGCATGAGGAATGAAAAAGACCACCTGCAACATATTCTGTCCTGACAGGAATAACGTTGCGGGTGAAAATGTTGAAGCAGCATATGATACATATGCACAGTTTCATGTGAGAATGAGAACTTCAAGTTTTCAATTTCAGTACTGTACTGTACATGCATTTTTTTGTGTGCCATGAACCGGCAAAAAAGTTTGGCAGACTGGCACCCGTCCGTAAACTAGGTGTCGTGGGAACACTGTTTCACATTATGCTGAAGACTTTCTAATCTACTTGGGATTTAAAACAAAAAATCCTGATCTTGAGAAAATTAAGAATTGATTGATAAAGGCTGGATAGAAAAACTTATGAACCTGATTGATGAGAAATTCCAAATATCAACAAATTTTGAAAATTTTGAAAATGTTGATGCCCAGGTGCGGCTAGGCACCTTCTGCTTGTTAAGAATAAAGTACAGTATATTGTAATTATTTTTTATTCATCCATCTTCCTCCCTTAAACATTCAGAATATGCAAATCAACAACACTCATGTATACCAAAATTTAAACCAAGTCATCTGTGGAAATCAATATTACACATCAAAAGCAATTTAGAAGAAAACTAAATGGCAGGGTATGTTTTGCGAAATATTTATCCATAGTACAGTCAACTCTCAATTCAGTGTCAACCTGGCTTAGTGTCACACATTCCCTTTATAACAAATCCCAATCAATTGTGTTCTCAAGGGAAACCCCAATTTAGTGCCAACACACTGAGTGCCATGAAAAACCTTGTCATGGATGATGAATTGAAAACAGTATGTAATTTTCTTCAGGAAATCACTATTTTACAACTGTGAATCATGTCCCCATTCTCACATAAAATTTTGGGATAATTTTATGCATCCTATTTTGGGATTTACATTGTTGAAAAAATAATATTTTTTCTTGCTTGATACTTCCTTCATTTTGAATCTAAAAATAAATGTGGAGGCTTTCCTGGAAAAAAATGGAGATTCCTTCATGATGGCCCACAAAAATCCAATATGTTCTGCTTTAATCCATTTTTGAAAAACAGCATGAAAAGTAGTATACAGTACATGTACTTGCTTGCACTTATTTCTTGCAGACTCAAAAGCCTAACAAAACTGTAAATAAGCTTGTTCTGCCTACAATAGAAGCCCTCAACTAAACGTTCATTTCTTTCAATACCCTGGATTTAGGGCCACCATTGCTTAGAGACACAAAATTTTACAGGGCAAAAGGTGGTACTGAATTGAGGCTTGAATCAAAAATTTGCATGGACAGTGAATACCACTTGTGATCATAAAAATAATGTGCTAGATGGGGTACCATAACATATAAAAAATACTACTTTTTTCATAAGAATTAATGCAACATCTAATGATGGAAACAAACATGTGAAACCCTCATTCCATGACTGGTTGCCTCATAATTTTCCCACACAGCTGACTTGACCTGAAAAGAATATCAAAAGGTTTTTTTCAGAGCTCTTGCATTTGGGATACTGTACTTTGCAGTACAATCTGTTCCCCTGACATGCAGGAAACCCCACTCTTGCTTTTACAGCTAAATGGGGCAGATAAGAACTCATAGGTTGGCAGGCTGCATTATTCATGAGGACTGGCCAGCCTTTAAGCATCACTTTCTTGTAGGTTGACAGGGATAAGAAGAGAGAGAGAGAGGGAGGGTCACTCATTAATTTCACATATTCTGCAACAGTCTGCTTCTGAATGAAAATTCTTTCTTTCTGCTTCTTCCACAGCTACTTGCAAAATTAACTGCCGTCTTGCTGTTTCATATCTTTGGACTTGTTACACTGCAAGGGAAGATAAGTAGGGTTTTTTGTTGAAAGTTTTTATACTGAACCTCAGAACTCCTAAGGAAAAAAAAATCGAATTTCCACATTACATCATGTAAAATGTCAATCATGTTAAACATGTTGAACAACCTTCCTGAGTCATGAAACTCCTTGATTCAAATTCTTAGTTTATTTTCTAGCCAATGCCATTGACACCAATGTACTTTGAACGTCCCTCAAACAAATTCGTTTGATACTAAAACCACCCTTTTTAAAATTGCTTTATTAATCGTTGGCTACATTTTGGACCACTATCTTCAGGAAACAGAAGGAAATTATAGTGTGATTGCTTCTCACGAGGGATTAGGCAACTTTCTGCACAAAAAATGCATGAATAATGAAATTGGCATAGGGAGAAATTTCAATTTTTTTTCATTAAACTTGTAGATAGGTTATGTAAAACGGGTCTAATTAACAGTCACTTTTGGGAGAAAAATACAAGCTGTTTTTTTTAGCAGAAGGGGGATGAGTATAAGAACAGAAGAGGGAATCTTACTCAAGGTTCATAATTCTGTAATCATTCAAATTTTACTGATGAAAATTGTCAAATTTTATTGAACATTGAAGTTGAATTTTACTGAAAATTGAATGCAAATTTTAGCGAAAATTAAATTCAAATTTTAGTGAAAATTAAATTCAAATGTTAGTGAAAATTAAATTCAAATTTTAGTGAAAATTAAATTCAAATTTAAATGAAATAGAACGTGAATTTCTCTGAAAAAAACATTTAACTGAAAATCAATCCGAATTGTTGAAGATAAAATTAACGTTTTTATCGAAAATTAATTATAATAAAACTTGAATTAATATTTTACTAAAAATCGAATTCGAATTTTATTCAATATTTCTAAACCCTATGTCGTGTGGAGCTATTTTCTTCTCTTTTGAAATGAATGACAATTTTTGAAATTTAGCAAGCTTTAAAAATGAATCAATTTCCAAAATTCATGGAAATCTGCCGTCGGTTTGCACCAAACGAAATACAAATGGAATGTAAGGATTGGAAAAAACTGTGCATGGCAACAATCCTCCATGCCCTGGGTTGCATAACCTGTTACCCGGGGAAAATGTAAGCCTTGGTCGTTCCGATGTCTCATCCCCATCATTCAAGGTTATAAAGAATTAGCGAATTGGGTAAAAAGGCCTTGGCAGAAACTCTTTGGATTGGGCAAAACGTCCTTGGGGGGTTATCCTCTGAGACAACCCCCTCAAGCATCCCCAGGGTCATCCCAAGAGCCTCAGCAAAATTGTTTCTGAATCCCTGATATCAGTTGCTCTCCAAATACCACGGTGTGGAAAGGTCCAAGTTATTTTTTTCCTCTTCAGTGGAATAAAGTATTTTGATTATGATGGGGAAACTTCTGGCCGCGTTTGTGTTGTGCTCTTTTGCGTTGGCTTGCTGGTGAGTTTAAAATCGAATGTTTTCGCGTAATTAATTTGAAACTTTACCGATGGGTTCGTATGAATGGATTCTTCGTGTATCAGCGGCTAATTCCTGAACAAAATTATCCGTGCGGTTTCCCCCCGCCCCACAATAAAATCATTGCACAAAATCCCATCCCGAGGGGTATAACAAAAGTTCTCAGGATCGAAATGAAACCGCCTTCACAGCCGCCACATTTGAATCCCAAGTGGCGGCTGTTCGGGCGGTTGTTGATGAAAACGGCGGAATAAAATATCTAATCATGACGAAAACGCTTGAATTTTATGCCATGCCAATTTCAAGAATTGCGCGGGGAAAGTTGGGGTAAAATAAGAGCAGAAAGCTTCAAGGGTGAATTTCGCAAATACATTTTTTTTAAATTTCCGAAACGAGTAATATTTTTCTCTTGCGCCAAAGAATAGCGGGTTTAGTCAAAAATATTTAATATCAACACAATTTTATGCCGTCTCACTTCAAATTCCGAGAACATCCGTGAACATTTATCAGACCCCTCGTATATACGAAGCTAATTCTTTATTAAACAGTTCTTATAGAGAAAAATGTCCTCGGATACATTCACAGGCGTCTTGTCTAGTGTATAGGACACAAGACAAGGATTTCTCTTTACTTTGCAGCACACTTGCATATTTTCTACGAACTTGCGTCAAGATTTGCATCAACTCTTCGGAGTGTTCATATTGATACTGAATCCTGATAAATTAGGAATTTCTACGAAGACACAAACGAATGTCCAAGTTTTTTTATTCAAGGCTGAAATAATTTGGAATATTTATGAAGTCTCAGAATAAAAATTATTTTCAGATCTTGGTCATTTGTTCACAATTTCTGCATTCATCCATCAAATGAGACTGTACCTTGAAGTAAATGTTGTAATACAAAAAATTTCACAGTATACTGCATAATGTAGATCAGTTTTAAAATAAATTCTAAGTTGTAAGTCAAATGCGTAGGATTGAAATACCATCAAAAAGGTCGAGGGATACATTCACAATTTCACTGAAGTAATTCGTACTTTTCTGTGACGTGTGTGGTTCATTTCCATGTAGAATCACTGATGATGAAAATTAGACGTCAATTGTTTGTCTAGGAGGAATTCTTGTTCGACAATATTGTATACTCGTTCATACTTGACACAAAGCAATTTTTTCACAAAACTACGCGTGTTTTTGGCACGAATATTAAACTTTTTTTCTTTTCATATTCAAAAGTCATGGAGCGGAGGAGGATCAAGGATTCTACAACATCCTGTCGAATGAGCTCAAGAAGCAACAAGCCGTTATGGAGGGCCAAGGATTGCACCAGCTTGCAGCCAAGTTCATGGAAGATGCTCGTGAAATCGGCCGGGAATTCGTGGGCATCTTAAAATCTGCAGTGAAAGCCGGGACGAATGGCACAGAGGATGTGAGGCGTGCCAAACGCGACACCGCCGAAGACAACAGTGAGTCTTCTGGCTTCTGTCTGTTCTCGTATTGTACTGTGTATATTTATAGATAATACTGCAGTATAGGATCTCATTTCAAAGAAAGAATAGCTCTTTACAACGAAGTACGTCCCTGCCAAATAGTCGCAAATTTAAATGCATTGCTTCAGACCAACTTTATTCCCAATAATACCTTCGTTGTAACGGTATTTTGTTTTACATGGAGGCATATCCACTGTATACATCCGTGTTCCAAAAACTTTTTCCAGGTCGGTGGGCCGGTAAACTGGGGCTGAAATTTTAGGGAACCCGCAGAATATTTTTCAGACCTAGACATCAGTCAAATAACCTTGGTTTTCAACAATTAAGGGTGTTCAAAACCTTCTGGACATATTCAACCGGGTTTATCGCGGAATTTGTTGTACGATTATTCGCACAACAAAGAGTCGCCTTCCTAAATTAATTAATTCCCTTTCCATATTCCAGCAAAACAAATGTTGAATTTTTGACTCCGAATATATTTCATGTACTTCTGTACCAAGAAAGGCATCTTTTTTTTTTACTTGTTCTTTCAAGAAGTCATGAATGTCAAACAGCTTCGCGAAAATAATATTCACATAATTAAGTGAAGTCTTTCATTTTGAAATTCAATCTGAAAATACTTGGATCGAAATGATTGCATCAGATTTCATGTATGGTCGAGTTCCAAAGTATTTGACACTGTACCTCATGTGAGCTGTGGGTACTCTTTCAACTGTAGTGATGTGTGTTTCATTCCTCCAAAAAAAGGCATCCAATCCATCCTGAACCAACTCATGGAAGCGTCGGGCACAGCAGCAGACACCAAGTCAGAAGATGCCTCCCTTCCTGTTGACACCGATAAGACCAACTCAGTGGATGCCAACAGCAGCCAAGACTCCAAAACCCGAGCCGGATCCGCACCGATCGTTCTGATCCCTGGACCCCCGGGCCCACCGGGGTTGCCAGGCATTCCCGGCTTGCCCGGAGTTCCCGGAAAGCTCCCCAACTTCAAGGGTCTCAAGGCCATCATCACTACTCGGGTCGCGGAGTTGCTCGCGTTCCTCGCCACCATCTTCGTGCTCATTCTGGCCAAGTTCCTGGGACTCCTGGGCTTGTTCCTCGGGCTCGTTTTGCCCATCTACGGCAAGTTGAAGTCGTCGGGGATTTACGTTCCGGATGAGCAGCAATCCTCATACGGGGGTTACAACCGGAGGAAGAGGAGTTTGCCCATGACCGGTGCAGTGATCCAGAGCCAAGTCGATGAATTGATGAAGCACGTCCACGTGCAACTCGACCGCGCTTTGGCTTCGCTTGAGAATTACTCTTGAACAAGAAAAAATTCAATTTCAATATCATTCCTTCATATGCTCCCCGCACTGTATTCCTTTTAATTTTTATTATTTTTTTTTACAAATGCTGTTGCTGTTATTTATTGATGGTTGATGAAAATGGACCTCACTTATGTTGTTTGCCAATTTCTATCTAGCCTATTCTGTTATTCTACTTCAGGATTATAGGATTAGGAATCGATTCTCTCATTGTATTCTGGGATTGACCTTGGATATTTCATCAATCGTTGAGGCTTTGAAAGATTCCTTGAAATACTCCGAGATTGCCATGCTTCTGTAAATTTCTGATATTTTTCATTGATGGCTGAAATGACAATTGAATTCCCCGTCATTCTTCTTTAGATTCAGTCTTGCCTTTTTCTCTCATTGCATTCTAGGATTGACCTTCGATATTTCATCAATCGTTGAGGCTTTGAAAGGTTCCTTGAACTACTCCAAGATAAGCCATAATTTCTTGAGGATGAATTATTAATATTCGACAGAACATTGTATAGATGGAAAATGCGTATTTTTACCGAACTTAATTTTCGACAAAACCTATGCTATTTATTGGCGGTTGGTAAAAGTGGACTTTTCATACGTTTGCCCAAAGTCGATCTATCCTTTTTACTCCGAGATTAGACTTCTGATAGCCTTCTTATAGGGCCTTGAAATATTTCTCGGAGCAATTCAAGGTTTAGCTAGGATTGCATGACAGTGATTATCAGGGAATATCCTTGGATGTTCTGAGAATTCTGGAATATTCCTTTCACCTTCCACTCCTATTCAGATATGGGCTTAATATTTGTCTTTGGGAAAAAGAAACTGGTTAGTTGAAGACGAATCTTGCTTGTTTGCAGGTGCATAATAGTAATCTTCAACAATGAAGACGCATGTGATTGTGGAACGGCGAGTTGTACAGGCCTTCGTGGTGGTTGTTCCTTTCGTTCTTGGAGCCTTGTGTTTTGGGTGAGAAACTGAATTGGGTTTTTGCGCATAATTTCCTGCCCTATTTTACGCGATATACTTTCGTGGTTCGTGCCACTTCGGCAACAAAAATTGCGTCTGTATATAAGTCAATATATCTAAATGTAAATTAACTAAATCTGGTAACATTCAGAAGTACTGTACATGCAAACATCATCATTGTCTCAGGCCAAATTGGCGAACGATATAAATTAGCTGCTCGTTACAGTACTCGAGTACCACACGCCGTAGAGTAAGACGGGCACGAGAGTTTTTCTACATACTGTTATCAAATTTCGATAGATCTCGAATATCGAAAATAATATGATGGTTACTGGTATAGTATATTCAAAGATTATATCGTATCCATGAGAAAGCAGCTCACCTCATTTTAGTGCCTCTAAAATATAGCTATATTTCAACGAAAAAGAACCCCAAAATTCGGATTTAGACTTGAATTGAACCGAAATTCAACAATTCTGTCTGCTGAACTTGGTCCGACATCAAGTACTGTCAATCGACTGCTTTGGTGCCAAAGAGAATTCATAGTTTCAAAATTGTAATGGAGAAAATCCTAATAACTTTCCGGCGATAAGTTAAATTCCAGGATATATTTTAAGCCTAACTAAAATGTAAATGAGACAAACGAGAGACGCCGAAAGTTAGCAGTTTTAAAATAACGAAAACGGAAAAAAACATTGTAGATCCAAATACATATTAAAATTCCGTTAGAATGAATCTGCAAATAAGGAATTTTCCGCAATAGCAATTTTGTATGCATGTTTTTCCGTATGCACCACGTTAAAAAAATATAGTCCAAAGATTTCATTTTAAGTTGCAATCTCAGTATCAAGAATTCTTTTCCCTAATTTTATGCATAATTCATAGGGATTATTTGATAATTGGCAAAAAATTTGAAATAAAAAAAAAAGACTGGTTTACTTATGCTTCTGTTTATTTTCAGCTTACACCTCCGTGCATGTGCTGCGAAACACTTGGAACCCAAAACAACTGAAGAATCTGTGATTCAGGCGCGATTCCTGGATGATTTGAACGTTTCTTCGACGCAACTTATTCAAGAGAACGTAACATCAACTTCCGAAACGCCAATAATAATAATAAGGATCGAATCCACGGAACCTACACAAGGTGATTATTGCTTCTACCGTACATCTATGCAAATTCATTCCAGCAACAACAACAAAAATGTCTCTCCCCTTCCTTCACTAGCAGATTCAATCACTGATGATGCGATTCTGATGACGACACAAGACGATGACGCAACCGACATTTCGGAGACTACGGAAAAACCGACTTCGTTATTCAAAAACTTTTTCAAATTCGTTACTCAAACCCTGTTGCATCCCCGTCTGAACTCCGTGTTCAAGTCTTCATCCATTTCCCCGATCGTAGCCATCGGAGTTATAATTTTTGACGTTTTGTTCGCCCTTTTGCCATGGATGCTTCTCCCCATGTTGACTAGGAAAAGTTTCGGCTCCCCTAAAGAACCAGAGGTGACCTCTACCATTGCTCCCATCATCAACTCGTTCGATTACCCCGTATTTCCGCGGCATTACAATTATGCCCCAGAACAGCCACTCAATTTCTTGCCGTCTCGCAACAACGTGAACAATCAGGAAAATTTGTTTCAAGACAGGATGTCGAGTGGGCTTTCCGAAATGTTTGAGAACCGCGATGAAGTGGAAATGACCACCGAAGATGACGGACAAATCAAGTTCAACTGGTTCCAGTCTTGGAGGTCTAGAGGAAATCGACGACCACTGTTCGGATTTTGATCGAGATTTTTTTCGTTTTATTTATTTGATTTTTATTCAACTTTGAAGAATCATACATGAAGACAGTATTGTACACACGTGTTTGATTTTTTCCCCTGTTTAAGCAGCTTTCTTTGAAAATTTTCCCGAGAAATTTTTTTACGGGACTGCGTCGACAATCGTAATAATTGAAAAGTAATAAATGATGAGGAGACGTTCCATGAGAAAATCTCGAAGGGTGCAAAATTTCCTAAAACGTGGATTTATGCATACAGAACAATTTTCGTAACTAACGTATGTGGAGGTGTGAAGCAAGATTCGGAATTATCAATCAAGTATAAATTCAGTTTCAAAGACAAATTTCATTCACCGGGTTTCCATGTTGGAATCCTATAGAAACCATTGTGAGGTGACATTTGATGAAGTTCGATACTTTCAGATAGACTTAAGTTCTGCAGAACAATATTTGTATCATCTATACATAATTTGGCAATCGGCAAAAAATATAATTAATCTGCTGGGGTTTTCGGCACAACGGGATTTTTGAAACGCTGGATTTTCTCACAAGAAGAGTATATACTGTGTCTAGGCTCGCATTGATTTTGACCCATCAACGGATTTGTCTGGTTTTTTACTATTCAGCTACTATATTCGAGCTTTGTCGTTGTCAGTATTTACTTACTCTACACCGAAATTATCTCCTGTCACCTACAGTATACAAGCATCATGATAAGCTAACATGGAAACACAGGCATTATTATTTTCAGTTCCCCAAATTCGCGAAATTTACTTCATTCGCCTCTCGAAGTTTTTTTTTTTGCGACCTTCGGATGAGCTTTTCGCGAGGAATTTGGCCTCCAAAAAGTAAGTCCCTCTTTCTTTTCCGGGTACACAGTATTCTGCCGCTTTTTTTCTTTTCGCATCTTCTAGTTTGACGTAAAATCACATTAGTGGGAAAGAACGACGAGAGGAGAAAAAACTGAGCAACGTGAATGTACTCGTATATGCGATGATGCGCGAATCGCGTGATAATAATTTGCAGCACATGGAAAAACTTTTCCCTTTCGCCCGCATTCCTACTGCTGTTTATTGCGACAAATTCTTGCCAAATCAGCTGTAGTTTTTGCATTTTTTGCTTTGAAGAAAAGTAAGTAAGTAAAATATTTTTTACCGGCATGGGTCGTGGTTTCTTTAAAAGATCGGTGCCGCAGAATATCGAGATTTGGCGAGTTATTTTCGTTTGAAGTTGTCGGCGCCTCGACTTCTTGGACGAATATTATAATGATGCTTTTAAACCGTATACTCCTCAGCTTTTAGACGGAAACCGGAATTGCTTCAATTGCTTCAAGCCAGAGAAAACGTCTCCGAGAACCTATCCTTGTGTAAGACCCACATCCCTTTTTTTTGGCTGAAAAAAATTTTCAATCTCTTTTGTTTGTACTGTAGATCCATTATTCCCGAAAGATATTTTCTCTTTTCTGTTGTTTATTGCTACAGGGGGTATTTGGACTACACCCCTCCATACGAAGGATTTTTCATTGAAAATTTAATCCCCGGGGACTAAGCGCACCCAATTTGTCTCAATTCAAGGAAAAGGGTGCTCCTCGTGGTACTCGAGTAAATACACGGTGGATGTACTGCTGTATAATATTATATACAGTAGTTTATTTTCTATTCGTGATTACATTCCCCGTCAAGGTACAGTACTGTATTTGAGATAACAGATTGCAGATGCCCGAATAGACGAGACTTTTATACAACGAGAAATTCCAATACTTTCTCAAACAATACCCTGTCAGTGACCAGTTCGTACCTCATGACCCTGTGTTCCCTTTTTTTCCTCACTGCAACAGTTATTGTGAGTCACCTCATTCGGTGACTCATTTGAAATTCCATTCCAATACTACCGCACCCTTCTTCAAAAACAAAGGGAGGAGCGTCCTCAAACGCATTTCCTTGGGAGAACACATCACGACCGGAAACTGAAAATGTGTCAGGTGACAACAATACTCAAACGTGGGGTTACATGTTGCTCCAAGTATTGACCCGTTTTTGCGAAGATTAACTGATTCGGTACCCAACCAAAAGCCCCCTTGGAATACCCCCCCCCCCCCATTTTTTTGTAAAATGTGGATGAGAGGTTTATAACACTCATTTAAAAAATATGAATAAGAGGTTCATATTTTTTAATATGAGTTGCGCCTAAAACCATCAATAGTTACAAGAATACATGTAATCCCTGAACTTTTGCACAGAACGGGGCTTTAGGGCGACATTTGACAGATTAATTTCGAAGAAACCTGAAGCAAAATATAATTCAAACAATAAATTCAATTTGGAAGACAGGAAAAAGAAACTAGTCCGATTTGAAAAATGAATATTTTATTCTTTTTATCTGCATGTATCTCGAACTACAATAAATACATTTCACATTTTAAATACAGTGGGAAGATGTGTTTTCAATATTTTCTACATACACGTCAGCTAAAGAAAACCCCCCAACGTTTCAAAAATGGTACAGTATACTGTAATCTCGTTTCAACAAATAATCGCTTACAAAGAAAGTCATTTTTCAATCCCCTACCCAATGGCCATAAGCTTAAATGAGTTACTTCATAACGAATTTTTTATTACTACGAAGCTATACTATTGATCCCAATGGCTTCGTTGTAACGAGATTTTACTGTTCTGTGTTAAAAATGAGGGTGTCATGTTATTGCATTAAACTGGCTGCAAAGAGCACAAAAAATTAAAAAATCTTTACATTTTTACAAAACCAAGCCCATATAGTACCTGTACTGTACAATATACACTAAATTTGAAGAAAGGCTAAAAACCAATACCATCAAAATTAGGAAAGGATGTTCTATGCATTGTAATCTTGAACAAAGAAACATAAATTGCACATTATAAATTCAGCAGTACGCAGCAACTCGGGCTTACAGCTCTTCAAAATAATTTCAACACATCTGAATAAATTGTGAAGATTTGATCTTTAAAGTTCCATAAAATTGGTTGCAAGCAACAGCAAACAAATGAGTCTATGTAAAACTGGAAGAGCTCTAAACTTTTAGACAATAAAAAAATTACGTCTGTGTGGAAAAAGAGCTCTTTGTTGGACTGTTTCAGCCAGTTACTTGAAATGCAGCAGAGAAAGTTTCAACAGCTCCTTCTTCTTCCTTTCTCTCAAACACTCGGCAGTCCTCTCCACTCCCAATAGCGGGTAAAGGACAAAAAAAAAGTCAGTTGCTCAACAACCTCCAGCCTGGAGTTGCTTCATCCAACAGTGTTTCTTCTGAGAGTGATCATTTTTCCATAGTTTTTTCATCTTCTGAAAAATGCCACAGAATTTATTTTTGTTGGTGATATGTGTCCTTTGAAGCAGTCTGCAGAACAAACCTGAAAGTCTCAGTGGATCAAGCAAGTGAACCCAATTTTAAAACAATCATATCTCATGATGTGTTTTCATCTTTTTTTTTAGAGTCAGTGCAGTGCTGTCCAGCTGCATTCCCATTTCCAGGAGAATGCATTTGGATTATCGCCTAAAACTCGCCAGTCTGAAATTTGTGCTACTCTTCCTTCCTCATGCCAAGGCTTTCGCAATAAAAAATCCTCAAGAAGCAGTTGTTCGTCTTTCAGAGGAACCTCATGATCTTCTCCCATCAGTACGTCAAAAACATTGAATTCTTAGAGAAAATCGCGAAAAAGAACACATAATTTGGATATAAAACCCTGGATTTGAACCTGGAATCAATATCCATATTTCTATTAGAAGCTCTCTATAGATTTCCATTTGCTTTCTGAAATCGTGGGCAGATGTCGCCTGAATGCCCTGCTACAGTACCGCAAAAAATGGCTGACCCTTTCCTTGCTTCAAACATAGCATTTCGAATACAAATGTAAAATGATTAAAAACAACTCATCATTTTAGGATTACGGTTGTTTGTACTTGTTTTGTTTTTTTGAACAGTCAAGTCTGGAATGGTTTCAATGATGATCTTGAAAATTCAGAAATTGGCGGAGTCAACAGCAGGGAAGCGTTCCAAATCCAACACACCAGAAACTTAAACAAACAAATCCAAAAAAAAAAATGAACAAGAGAATATTCAGGCGACACTTCTTCATCCGAAAATCAAGCCTTTGAGTAGGTGATAAACCCGTGGTCCGCGGACCAGCGCAGAAGTTTTTTGCCGGTCCGTGGGAAATTTTCTTCAGCATATTATGTCAACACTAGTATTGATGAAGTATTATCTTCAACAGAAATGCCAGAAAGATAATGAAAATGGAAATTATCTGATGAAAAATAAAGGCTGGCTTTTCTCCTAATAAAACTTCAGACATATTTTCAAATCCTGAAAATAAATTATTTTATACATTTTTATTCTGATAAACCTTTCTTCAATCCCATTCGATTTTTTTATTAAATTCCACTGATTGGCCGCTTCATTGGTTCTTATCAATTTTTGGAAAAACAAAAACTTTTCAGATGCCCGGCATAAAGTCTTTCAAGAAAAAATTTGTGAAGTCTGCAACATTTTACGAAACTTCGCCAGTCCGCAGAAAATGTTGTTGAAATTTGCCAGTCCCCAAAAAATGCTACGAAAATTTGCTGGTCCGCGGGCCCAAAAACGTTAGGGAACACTGTAATATAGATCATAGAGCATATTAAGCGTAAAGCGAAATGAAACTTCAAAAATATTTCGGCTAAATAATTTATCCAAAAAA